GTGATTTACCTGCATCTCGTTAAATGAATGTATTTCAGGAGTTTTGCTAAAAAGGAGTAAAGTGAACTTATGCCTGAGGTTAGCCTAACTGCATGTTACAGTCAGTTATGGCATGCAAGGACTTCAGGGGAAACAGAGCAGGGAAAATGCACATTGTTTGAATATGTGATATAAAACACAGTATTGAAGGGCCTGGCCACATGCTTCATGCAGGGCAGTTTTCTGAGTGGGTTGTATGTGCCCCTTAGTCTGTAGTAGTTAAAAATACACAGGTAAGGCAAGAAAGTTTTAGGACTGAATTAGCAGATGAGCTTTTTGTAAACCTATCTCTTTTCAAACATAAATCTGAATTTTAGTAAGTCCTCACTTCCTGTGCTGCCTCAAACTAGGGATAATTAAGCTGGTGTCTGACGGAGACATTTATGAAGTAAGGAATTGGGAGAAAAGGTGTTTCTTCTACCATTGGGTGCCGACTTCTACAGTTGATACTTAGGTATTACATTCATGGCAGACTGACTCTCTACTTACAGGAGAACGTATTTTACTCTGGCAGAGTTTATCCTGCTAGGTGTCTTTCTTAGGAATATTTCTGTGTTATGCAAACTTCCATTTAGATATTTTAGATGGAAAAAAAATGCATATTAAGATTTACTTACATTGCGTTTAAATAGATGAATGTGGTGTTCATTCTGTGCCTGTTACTACTTATATTCCTATATCTTTTTAGTTATTTCTGTTTGATCTTCTGTAGGTTTTTATTAATTGTGGGGCTTTTTAGTTTGAATTTAAGTAGCTTGTATTTTTGTACCACACGCTTTTTTTTTTGACTTATCTTTGCTTCAGAGCTGTTCCTTTTTGCTCCTTCAATTATTGAATAGAATGTAAAGTAAACTAATACTTGTAGAATCTAATTCAGAATAGTCAAAATATTGAATTTCTGTAAAACAATGCAGAACTGGAATTCATATATAACAGGCTGCAATACATAAAAAGAAAATGATTAAACCATATCTCACTTATCATAGATCTTTTTAATAGGAGCAAAATCTGTGCCATTAGTTCCAGACCAGCGTATTTCCCATTCACAATGCTTTAGTGCATAACTTATAAATCTGTCCTCATCATCCTATATTACTTTTTCAAAGCAAGACTAACAGCAAGAAAGACAGGATGAATGAAAGTCAATGAAGGTCAGCTAGACAATCCAGTTATTAAAGATTCTTGGAATAACAGTACTGTGATCTATAAAATAATTGGGTGTGAATTTCTGTATCTTTGTTGACAAAGGTGGTTTCTGTAGAACCACAGTATATTTTCTAAGGTAATCTGTTTTTAGAATATGCTAGTTTAATCTGTTTGTATAGTAGGTCTGAATGTCGGTAGTTTATACTCTAAAATAGTTTGCAGAAGTCATATTTATAATACACATTTCATGTACCTGTTCTGTCTCCTGAGTGATGAAGAGGCCTTTGAGGAAAATGTGACATACAGTTACATGAAGACACAGCGTTAAGATTGCATAATCATTGCATATAAGCCATTGCTAATTTTCCATGCGTTTTTTTCATCAGTCACTTACCCCGTTCTGCAGAATGAATGAAAGGTATCTCTTGGGACCATAAAACACACGTGTACAATAAGAGGTTACTACTTCTGGCACCTGCTTATAGTAGAAATAATGAGCTGGTCTGCATGTTTGAGTTTAAATATAAAATTTCAATTATGTATAAGCCATGTATTGTAGAAACTATGGATGATAAAATAGGAGAAAATAATTAGGCAGAAGAACAGTTGTTTTCAGTCTTATAAACTTGAGCTTTAAATTTAGCTTTGTTGCTTCTATTTCAAATCTGTCTGAAACTTAGATTTAAGAACACAAAGTGCTGTTTATAGTAGCAAAAAGCCTGTCTAAAATGGTGGTCTCTACCACAGAAATTGTAAAGCATATTCAGGTAATCTTACACTGCTTTTGACAAATGATAAATAATTTTTCTAAACCTAGGAAGTCATGAGGCTTGCATGTCATGCAGGGGTAATGAAGAGTCTTTCTGTCTAGATAGGCGTTGCATATCTACTGATCACTGAAAAAATTTACTTCTAGTCTGGAAACTATTTCATATATATAGCTATAATCTACTGTTACTAACTTTTACCAAAACTTGCATTCAAAACATTGTTTTGAAAGTCTTCACGCACCCAGATTTCACCTGTACGTAAGAATTTGTATTTGTATTTTAAAGTTTTAAGCTCTGTAATGAATTTGTGATATTAGACATTTGTGATATTAGGCATTTATACTATTAATTTTTCATTGCTACATCTTCTTAGTAGCTAGGGCAAACCTGTCTGTGACAGAGAACCATACTCTAATCCTCTGTACAGAGAGACGAAGGTAAAATTTTACCAGAGTCCTTCTATTAGATTTGTAGATGAAACAGAGGGTTTAGTTATCTTCTCCAGAGAAGATAAACATTTTTTTCCCCTACTGTGGTGCTGGTAGAATATTAAATAGTGCAAATCTTGTAAGTCTTTGATTTCTTATTGTATTTGTCAAGGGTTTTTATTAGTCAGTGTCTTGAAATTCCCAAATAGTTGGTGTGGTTGTCCTCAGCTCTGAGGAGGAGCGTGCAAAAATAAAAATGTAACGTCCCGTCAGATAAAAAACAAAGAAATTTCTTGCTACACTGGGTTTTTTTCATTCAAGTAGACAGACCAGAGACATGAGTCTATGCAGATACAACATGATTACTGACTAGTTTGTGGTTGAATCTGTTTAGTTGACCCTTTTCCCTTCCTTTTGGCCTGTTTTCAGTTTCATTGGCTTCTAAAAACGTAATCCCAAATGGCTTGGCTTTGCTCATTGAGGGATTGTTGCTTTGAGAAAACTGCATTATATCCATATTCAGTAACCCCAAACCAATACAGCTTATATGTGGTGGTGTACCTATAATCTTCTTGGCCTGCCTTATCTCTAGGCTGTCTTTTCAGAAATTATTTTGCTAGAGCCTTCACCAAGGACACCATATGCTGCCAGTATGCAGTTAGTCAGGCAAATTGGAACTGTGGATAAAGGTCATCTGCAGCACACCAGGAATAATTTTCCTGTGTATGTATTCACCTGAGGCTCAGTTGTGGACTACGTATTTCGAAACTTGTTTTGCTTCTGAGCAACAAGAAGACATCCTTAAAACCCAGAATGTCCCTGTTGTTGAGGATTAATGATTCCAGACATAGTGAAACATTCCTGAGCAGTTTGGCTGGAAAATAAAGGCTTTGTCCCAAAATCTCTGTAGAGTTTTGCATTACTGTCATTTGCACTGGGAATATATACTTTGCAGGAAAAAACCCACCTTGTTTAAATAACAATATGCAGGTGTCATAAGTGTACCCATGTCAATATTATATTGTTTAAAAAATTTCACAAAATATTGTCGCTTTGAATGTTTACCTACAAAGCATTAGATTTGTGCAATGGATTGTGTTTCATACTCACTGAATTTTATTAGACAGATTAATTATAAGGAAAAAAAAATAGTTGTAGAAACAAGTAAATCATAATAATAAACTGGTTACCACCTCCATTCAACTGATAACTGACAAAATCTGGTATTACCATGAGATACGAGTCTGGTGTGTGAAACAGATGTAATATGTGACCTCTAGAGATCATCTAGTCCAACTCCCCTGCTGCTAGAGCACATTACTCAGGACTGCATCCAGGCGGGTTGTCTCGAAAATCTCCAGAGAAGGGGACTCCACAACCTCCCTGAGCAGCCTGTTCCAGGGCTCTGTCACCCTCACCGTAAAGAAGTTTTTCCTTGTATTTGACTGGAACTTCCTATGTTCCAGCTTGTGCTCGTTGCCCCTCGTCCTATCGCTCAAAACCACTGAAAAGAGTCCAGCTCCATTATCCTTCAGCCCACCCTTTAGGAACTTGTAAACATAGATGAGGTCTCCCCTCAGCCTTCTCTTCTCCAGGCTAAAGAGCCCCAGCTCTTTGAGCCTTTCCTTGTAAGGGAGGTGCTCCAATCCCTTAATCCCTTAAGTTGCCCCCAGTCTCTCCAGTAGTTCCCTGTCTCTCTTGAACTGGGGATCCCAGAACTGGATGCAGTATTCCAGTTGTGGCCTCACCAGTGCAGAGTAGAGGGGGAGAATGACCTCCCTTGACCTACTCGTCACACTCTTCCCTGTGCAGCCCAGGATCCCATTGGCCCTCTTGGCAACAAGGGCACATTGCTGGTGCATGGATAGTTTACTGTCCACCAGGACCAGATCCTTCTCCTCATTAGTGGTTTCCAGAAGATCCAGCCCTAACCTGTATTGGTGCCTGGGGTTCTTCCTCCCCAGGTGCAGGACCCTACATTTGTCCTTGTTGAACCTCATTAGGTTCTTCTCTGCCCAGCTCTCCAGCCTGTTCAGGTCAGGCTGGATGGCAGCGCAGCCCTCTGGAGTGTCAGCCAGCCCTCCCAGTTTGAAGTTCTTTATATTATCAAGTTAAAATCATCAGTTGCTTTGTTTTAGTAAAAATGTTTAGAAAAGGATTATAAAATCAAGATATCACACAATTCAGATTCTGTGCAGAATGTGTATAGCATGAGTCTGCAGGATGGCAATAACATAAATTTGTTAGCATTTTCATGTTTGTATATTGTTCATGAGAATAGTGGTTAGAATGATCTCTTGGGTTATTTGCAGATAAACAGGATGACAGTAATACATAAATTTGTGACCAGCATTCTCTCTTTTCTTCTGTTTCTTCTCCGAGAAGATGATCCACCTCTGCCAAAGATGGTATTTTTTTCTTCCTGTTCACGTGGATATACAGATGCTTGTGCATACCCGATGTTTTCTCTCAAATTCCTGAAACAAATAATAGTACTGACAATAATAATAAAAGTATTAATGAGCAGCTTGCCAATGTTACTGAGAAACTGGTTAGACTGTATTAATAATGTGCTCATATCACCTATTCAACTATTTCCTGTGTATCTTTTCTGTAGGTGACAGATCAGTCAGTGAAAGCTTTTGCTGAACATTGTCCTGAGCTGCAGTATGTTGGTTTTATGGGCTGCTCTGTTACATCAAAAGGAGTCATTCACCTCACCAATGTAAGTATTGTAACTAATTTTAGCTAGTCACTAGTGTCTTTGGCTATTGCTAAATCATAGGTATCAGCCAGGATAAGTTTATACGTATGATGAATAATACGAATAGAAGCATGACAATATAAACGAACTTTGCATTATTTGATCAGACATACTCAGCTTTCCCTATGTAAAATCACTGCAGAAAAAATATATTCGAGGGGTGATACTTTTTCTCAGAAATAATAATACTGTTAGGGTCAAAAGTCTTTAAAAAACCTAATTATACTAGATTCCATTGCAAACAAAACAAACTTCCATAATTGGAAGTGCAAAATTCTTAGTGCAAGAGATTTTGACACCGTACTGCAACAGTATATCCCCTACAGATATGCACTTTGTATATATGCATTTTTGGATTTTAACATACATAGTGTGAAAATACCTTGTATTTCTTTTCCTTTATATTTTATGTAAGAGGATTGATGTGTGGGAGAATTGAGCGAACCTACAGGGAATAGTGGAAGCATTCAATAAAACAAATAACTTGGATGAGGTGGACAAACAGCATGTTAATTAAAATTCATAACAGAAAGTAAATTTGGGGATCATGCAAACATTAGGGAGGGCAGAGGAAAAATGCATCTGGATTAGATAAATTAGTATTTATAGCTAAGAATTTTGAAACAAAATTCAAATGGGAAAATGGAACTTATTATAACTGTTAAAAATGACTGCAGAAACAGAGATTGAGTAAGAAAGGTTCTGGTAAACATAAAAATGGTTAAAGAGATATTGAAGTAGCAAGTGGAGAGCATATTTAATGAAAACAGAACATGCCTGAAGCATATACAGCTGTGCAGCCCTCTTGTTGTTATACAGAATATATCTGTAAAATATTTTCATCAGTTTAAGGTAGCTCAGTAGCTGAAGATGCAGAAGAATTGAAAACATTTGGGAACACATGCAAAAAGAAATAAGCAAGAGAAAGTAATTTGCACAGTAAAGCTATAGCAACTCAAAGAATGCAATTTAGAAAGGACTCTGTGTATCATAGAATCATAGAGTGGTTAGAATTGGAGGAGACTTTAAAGATCATCTATTCCAATCCAGGGACACCTACTGCTAGGCCAGGTTGCTCAAAGCCCCATCCAACCTGATCTTCCAGGGAATGGGCATCCACAACTTCTCTGGGCAACCTGTTCCAGTGTCTCACCATCCTCATAGTGAAAATTCCATCCTGATATCTAATCTAAATCTCCCCTCTTTCAGTTTAAAACTGTTACCCATCATCCTGTCACTACCCTCCCTCATAAAGAATCCCTCCCCATCTCTCCTGTAGGCCCACTTCAGGTACTGGAAGGCTGCTATAAGATCTCTCTGGATCCTTCTATTCTCCAGATTCCACAACCCCAACTCTCTCAACCTGTCCTCATAGGAAAGGTGCTCCAGCCCTCTAATCATCTTTGTAGCTCTCCCTTGGACCTGTTCCAACAGTTCCATGCCCTTCTTATGTTGGGGGCTCCAGAGCTGGATGCAGTACTCCAGGTGGCGTCTCACAAGAGCAGAGGGGCAGAATCACCTCCCTCAACCTGTTGGCCATGCTGTTTCTGATGCAGCCCAGGATACAGTTGGCTTTCTGGGCTGCTAGCATACATGGCTGGGTCATGTTGAGCTTATCATCAATCAATACCACCAAGTCTGTATTGTCAGGGCTGTTCTTAGTCTGTCCTCTGCTCAGCCTGTATTTATGCCTGGGATTGCCATTTCCCAGGTGCAGGACCTTGCACTTGAATTGGTTGAACTCCATGAGGTTTTCACAGGCCCACCTCTTAAGCCTGTCCAGGTCCCTCTGGATGGCATCCCTTCCCTCCAGCGTGTCAACCGCACCACACAGCTTGGTGTCATCAATAAACTTGCTGAGAGTACATTCAGTCCCACTGTCTATGTCACCAACAAAGTTGTTAAACGGCACTGGTCCCAATACCAACACCTCAGGAACGCCACTCATCACTGGTTTCCACTTGGACATCGAGCTGTTGACCACAACTGTTTCAGTGCGACCATCCAGTCAATTTCTTATCCACCTAGTGGTCTATCCATCAAATCCATGTCTTTCCAATTTTGAGACCAAGATGTCATGTGGGACAGTGTCAGATGCTTTGCACAAGTCCAGGTAGATGATGTCAGTTGCTCTGCTCTTATGCACCAACTCAGTAACACTGCTGTAGAAGGCTACAAACTTTGTCAGGCACAATTTCTTTTTAGTAAATGTGTGCTGGTTGTCACCAATCATCTCCTTATTCTCCATGTGACATAGCATGGTTTCCTAGAGAACCTGCTCCATGGTCTTGCCAGGCAGAGGTGAGACTGACCAGCCTGTAATTCCTTGGGTCTTCCTTTACTCCCTATTTAAAAATGGGAGTTGTTTCCTCTTTTCCAGTCAGTGGGAACTTCACTCAAATTTCTCAAATATGATGGGCAGTGGCTTAGCAACTTCATCTGCAATTTCATGCAAAGTTCCCTCAGGACCCATGGATGAATCTCATCATGTCCTATGGACTTGTGCACCTTTAGGTTCCATGGATGATCTCAAATCTAGCCTTCTGCCACAGCGGGTGATTCCTCATTCTCATAATCCCTACCTTTGCCTTCTGCAACTTGGGCAGCGTGGCTAGAGCCCTTGTGAGAGATGACCAAGGTAAAAACGTTGTTGAGTACCTAGCCTTGTCCATATCCTGGGTAACAAAGTCTCCTGTTTCCTTCGGGAGAAGGCTCACATTTTCCTTTGTCTTTGTTTTATCACTGACATACTTCTATAAGTTTTTCTTGTTGCCCTTGACATCCCTGGTCAGGTTTAATTCTATCAGAGCTTTAGCTTTCCTAACCTGATCCCTGGCAGCTCAGACAATTTCTCTGTATTCCCCCCAAGCTACCTGTCCTTGCTTCCACCCTCTGTGGGCTTCCTCTTTCTGTGTGAGATTGTCCAGGAGCTCCGTATTTATCCATGCAGGCTTCCTGCATGAAATGAATATTGAAGTGATGCATAAAAGGAGGATATATCTGTGGGAGAGAGAAATAATACAATAATTTTCACGTCCTATGAAAACTGTATATGTATAGGTTATGGTTATATGCACAACATAAATACAGGGGATACATAACAGAAATCTGACAAAGGTTATGTACTTCAAGGCATTGTGGGTAATTCCCACACAGGTCGCTTTTCAGGTGCATGCTTTGGTTACTGCATTATTCTTGCCTAGATTTATTGAGCATTTAGTAGATGTCTTATCCTTTAACCAAGTGACTTTATAATGCCATTTATTCAGTTGAAGAAAAGTCAAGATCTTGATTTTTCTTATTACTATTTAGTTCTGATTTTCTTGTGGTTTAATAATAATAAATGATTAGAAATCCTGTTTTACACAGGAGTGACACTGTGTTGAATATAGTCCTTCAGAAAATATCTAGGAGGCGGCTGTGTCACAAACTTGGAAAAGTCATATGGGATAAGTAATTGTTCTATGTGCTTTTTGTTGGGACTTGGGGATTTCAGTTTCCTTCCCACAAGCTGTATCTATACAAACTTGCATTAGGCTATTAATACTGCAAAGGCAGTGATGTGATAACACCGAGCATTAGGGATTGTTCAGCCTGGAGAAGTAAAAGCTCCAAGGAGACCTTATTGCGGCATTTCGGTGTTTACAGGGAGCTTGTAAGAAAAATACAACAGACTTTTTAGCAGGGCCTGTAGTGACAGGGCAAGTGTAATGGTTTTAAACTGAGAGATTCAGACTAGAGAGTAGGAAGAGATTTTTTTTACAAGAATGGTGAAACACTGGAACAAGTTGCCCAGAGTGTAGATGCCCCATCCCTGGAAACATTCAAGTTCAGGCTGGATGGGGCTGTGAACATCCTGATCTAGTTGCAGATGTTCCTGCTCATTGCAGGGGAAGTTGGGCTAGATGACCTGTAAAGGTCTTTTCCAACCCAAACTGTTCTATGGTTCTGTGATATGATGTCTTCTATACAGTTTGCTAAGTATTCTTTCATGAGTGACTTCCTGTGCACAATAACAAAGTTGGGTTTTTTTAATATTTATTGCTACTTTAAATTGAGGTACTTATGCGTATAATACAGCCAAGTAGGATGATGAGGGGGAAAAGAGCAAGTAGTAGATTTTCCCGGTAGTCCAGTGACTGGGAAATTGTATTGGATTTCAGACTTCTTTATCCAGGCTGTTGACAGGTGATATCTGGTTAATCTTGCTGGAGCAACTTCAGCCAGTTTCCTCCTGGCTCCTCTGGCAGGTGTTACTTCCTTGTAGTACAGCAGGCAATTTAACTAAAATTCTGAATTGTATTGAAGCATCCAGCACAGACACATGCTTCATTTCTACAGTTGGGTCTTCCTTTACTCCCTATTTAAAAATGGGAGTTGTTTCCTCTTTTCCAGTCAGTGGGAACTTCACTCAAATTTCTCAAATATGATGGGCAGTGGCTTAGCAACTTCATCTGCAACTTCATGCAAAGTTCCCTCAGGACCCATGGATGAATCTCATCATGTCCTATGGACTTGTGCACCTTTAGGTTCCATGGATGATCTCAAATCTAGCCTTCTGCCACAGCGGGTGATTCCTCATTCTCATAATCCCTACCTTTGCCTTCTGCAACTTGGGCAGCGTGGCTAGAGCCCTTGTGAGAGATGACCAAGGTAAAAACGTTGTTGAGTACCTAGCCTTGTCCATATCCTGGGTAACAAAGTCTCCTGTTTCCTTCGGGAGAAGGCTCACATTTTCCTTTGTCTTTGTTTTATCACTGACATACTTCTATAAGTTTTTCTTGTTGCCCTTGACATCCCTGGTCAGGTTTAATTCTATCAGAGCTTTAGCTTTCCTAACCTGATCCCTGGCAGCTCAGACAATTTCTCTGTATTCCCCCCAAGCTACCTGTCCTTGCTTCCACCCTCTGTGGGCTTCCTCTTTCTGTGTGAGATTGTCCAGGAGCTCCGTATTTATCCAT